CCCGGTACCCCAACCCCTCCCCCCCCTCGCAGCACGCTCCCCTTCTCCGTCTTCCACCTCCATCCCCCAGCATACTCCGTCTCCTTCATCCCCCCTCCCAGCACCATCCCCACCCGTTTCGTCCCACCACTCTCCATCTCCCCATTCGCTGCACCCCAATAACGTCTCCCTCCCCCTTGCTGGCTCAGGTCCAAGCCCAAGGTCGCCCTTCCCACCCTTCCAGGAAGCCCCCAGGAACGTGAGGTGCAGGATCCCGGCCTTACACCTGCTCTCCGTACCCCCCTTCTCAGACCAGGGCCCAGCCATGCTGCTGCCCGCCATCCCCAGCATCATCTCCTCCAGCAGACAAAAGCGCTCAGTGAGCCAACAGCGTTCCCGCTCTGCATTTCTGCTCCATGTCACCATTCCACATCCCTGCTCCCCGCAGTGGGGTTTTGCCCCCGACCCCATTCTCCGCCAGCCCTTCTGTACTCTGGCCGTTTCCCAAGCTGGCAGCAGCTGTGTGACGGCGCTGGGAGAAGAGTGTTTATCTTCTCCCTGCAAAACGTGGTTAAGCTGTTATGCTTTCCTTTGGGGAGGGCTGAGCAACAGAACCGCGCAACTCTCACGTGACACGAGACAAGGCTGCAACTGCATTTCTTCCCCGGAGTAATTCCGTAATTAATTGATCGTGACACAAAATCTGTTACACTGAATAGGGCTGGTTTTGTTTTGCTTTTCCCACTCTTTTTTTCTTCTACAATACATGTTTTTTCAGCTGATGAGGAGCGCAAAGCGGGGCTTTCAGCCAACTGCAGGCAAACCTTGTTTAGCGAGGCAGCACTTAGCGAAGCTGCACAGCGTTTTCCCAGCCTTGCAGATACTCTCAGTGTAGTTTTTGCAAGATGCAAGTGTGATCACAATTCCCATTCCAGCAGAACTCTCACCCAGACTCCTCATCCAACTGCAGCATCTCCGTTTTGCTCACATTTCTTTGCCTTCTCCCTTCCTTTCTTCTCAACCTGAAGTTGTAAAGGTTATTTTCTTGCTGCTGGGAAGGCAGACGTGCTGGGTGTTTGCTTCTGATTGCAAAGTGAAGCACAGATGGATGTCACCTGCTGGCTCACAGATGGATGTCATCTGATGGTTATTCTGGGATGACTTTCTGGAGCTCCATGGAAAGGTTTCCACATCTGGTCCTTAAAATTTGGAAATAGTAAATCTCCTTTCTCAGGAGAGAAAGGACAATGAAGATATGCCTGGGTTTGCCATGGGCCACCAGCAGGTGGTCAGATGGGAGCCATTTGCCACTTCTGGGTCATCAGGTCTGTCTGAGCTTCGTACTTTGCTGAAGAAGATGAATAATGTTTGCATCCTGCTGCTCTTCCATGCCTGAACGTGGAGCAAAGGCCTGAAAACCACCAGGGACTGTTGATTAGTCTGCTGTTCGTGCTCACTCCTTTCATTTCCTGAGAGAAAAAGGGGCTGGGGACCAAGGCTTGACCTCATGGAAACCCCTCTATCAGAGCCAGGTGTCCCCAGCACTGTGACAAGGGCAAGAGCTGAAGTCCACGAGCAGCATATTTAAGAAAATACATTTTTAAGCACCACCCCCTGTCATTACTGTTCAACTTGCCTTAAAACCTGCTTGCTTTCCTCACATTCTTTGGCTTGGATGAAAAAGTGGCGAAGGATTGCCAGGTCTTCTCATGCATTTCCCATTTTGTCTTCCAGCGGAATCGAATCCCTCTCTGCAGATGAGCACGGTACAGTAACTTTGAGAAATACAGGGCTTCAATGGGCTGGGTGTTACAAATTCCCATTCTCCAGATTGAAAAGCACCACTTTATGACTACTGCCTATAGAAAAGTCAATATGCAATGCTTTAATTTCATGGGTAGGATCTTTGAGACATTGTACTTAGTTTTGAAATTCGTATTCCTTTCTTACTTATTCGTTCCCTGTTATCTGCATAGTGCAAAAATGCCAGGAGAGGAATTGGCCTTGCATTGACAGTTCAGTAGGTGACTGCCAAACCTCTGTGCATCCACACTGGAGCGCTCAGTGAGCACCACCAGCAGTGCTGGTCCTGCCAGAGACCTTGTGCAGAAAATTCAGTGTGTGATCATAGAGAGAGGGCTTTTGTTCTGCTAGATCTGTAATGCCTGCTCTGAATGCTGAGGTTGGGATCCCTGGGGCGGGATGGAGGACAGGGGATGCTGGTCCTTGGCGTGTCTCTGCAGTTCTTCTTGGCTGGCAGTTACAGAATCACAGAATAATTAGGATTGGAAAAGACCATCTAAGATGATCAAGTCCACCCATCAACCTGTCACCACCATACCCACTAACCATTGTCCCTTGTTGCCACTTCTTACAGTGATGATGTGGGGCTGGGAGGGGTGGCTGGCACACCAGTGAGACCTGGACAGGCTGTGAGTTGGGTGGGGAGGAACCTGATGGGGCTCAACAAGTGCAAGTGTAGAGTCCTACAGCTGGGGAGGAACAGCTGCTCCCATCAGTACAGGCTAGGGGCTGAACTGCTGGAAAGGAGCTCTGCAAAGGTGTGCCCTCATGGCTAAGAAGGCTGATGGTGTCCTGGGTGCATTACAAAGAGTGGGACCAGCTGGTTAAGGGAGGTTCTCCCCTTTGCTCTGATGTGGCCACATCTGGGGCTGTTGAAAACCCACCTGGATGCATTCCTGCGCAGCCTGCTGTGGGGAACGTGCTGCAGCAGGGAGGCTGGACTTGATGATTCCCAGAGGTCCCTTCCAGCCCCTCTGATTCCATGATTCTGTAATGTCAGCCTGGTTTTCCTTCCATTTTTTCATGTCCATTGGGTTTCAGGAGCTATGGATTGCTATGCTCAACCTGGTGGGTGCATGGGTCGGCGTCCATCTGTCTGTTCCTCCTCCTCCCTCCATTCCTTGCAGCCCTCTGCTCTCCCACTGCAAGGCTGCATACCCTCTGTGCCTTTGCACAGCCTTGCAGACCAGCCCAGCTGCACTTTGATTCAGAGCAATACAAGCTGCTGTGTTTTTGGTGCTCAAGGAAGTGGTGGAGGTTGTCACACAGACGGCAGTGGCTCAGTCAGCTCTTTCTGCACAGAGCCTGCATAAAAAGTGACGTTGGAGGCGAGGGAGCTTTGACTGTATGTGCACAGAAGTTCCTTTTTTTCATGCATGTGTAACCCCTGGCTGTTTTTTTGCAGAATTGGAGACCTCTTGTGAGGAGAGCACAGGCTGTGCGGAGGAGCTGCCAGCAGGTGAGCAGCTGTGGGACCAGAAACCCCCTACCCCCTCCTGAGTGTGACTTTGAGGTTTGTAAGAAGACTTTTATTAGAAGTGTGCATGGCACATCCACAGCCCCGGATCACAGCACGGTTGTACACACCTGTAGGTGCCTCTCCCACAGGAAACCATAGAATTTGGCTGGCTGAAATGTAGGGGTGCAGGGACCTCCAGGACAGCCTCAGGTTGTTGGGGACATCATACATCAATTGAGCATCACACACACCTTCAAAGGTTCTGAGCAACCCCAGATCTCTGATGCTGATCTCTGCTGCCTGAGCACGGCTCAGTGCTTTTCCTGCTGTGTCATGTTACCTAACACCCCACCAGATTAATGCATTTAAACTTCTAAATGCATCTCTTACTTACTCTTGGCACTGCTTTCTTTAATTCTTCCTGTCGTTCAGGAGAGGGCAGCTCCGGCAGTGGCTCTGGCAGCCCCAGCAGCAGCTCCAGCAGCAGCTCAGAAGATGACTCAGGTGGGCATTATATTGCAGTTTACTTATTTTCTCTCTTTTGAAAATGTAAATTCAGTTTAAAACCACTTTTTTTTTTATTTTACCCTTCCCTCTTTGGGAGTAGTCTCCAAGTTATTGTACAGAACTGTTAAGCCAGTGACTGAATGTTGAAAAGCAGAATGGTATTTATGTGAGTGCATCATTTCATAGTCACTCGGTGCTGAGCTTTGCAGTAATGGGGGTCAGCAGCTCGTGTGGCATTGGCCTCATGCACACAATGCGTGCAGATGTTTGTACACAACAGCCGTTGTCCACAGAGGCTATAAATCTGCTGAACAGTTGGCAGCAAAAGTGGCAAAACAGGATGGACGGGGAAAGAATTGAAGGAAGTGTTTGTTATTGGCGAGGAGGCTGTGGGTTTCCACTTGTGTGGGTTATACCACGAGCAGCTTATTTATCCTGCTTTCACCCAACGTCGACCGTCTTTACTCAATAATGAGAATGCTTTTTTCTCATCAGATACAGAGGAGTCGGACACAAGGCAGTCAGGTGAGTGTGCTGCTCTTTCTTTCCCATACCCGCTCTGGGAGACGTCTGGGAGCCGATAGGGATGAGGGCTTTGCACCAGGATGCATGAGGGCATGCAGCAGTGATGGGTGCCGGCACAGCCGGTGACCTCTGCCCCTCAGGGCACAAGGACTTGCAGAGAGCACTGTTGTGCAGGCAGAGCGCATGCGTGGTACGAATGGATGCGTGTAGAACACTGGTAATTAATTAACAGCGCTGCCAGCGCGAGCCTGTGCTGCTCAGCCCTGCTTCCTCTCTTGCACAGCACTCAGAGCAATCCCAGCTGCTGCTCCATGCCCAAAATAGCATTGCTCCAGGCTGGGATCCAGCTCACTGGTGTTTCCATGATATTTTCCAGGCGCTTCCCATAGATAACAATGGATTGTCCACCCCTGTCCCATCTGCCTACCTGGGAGGTGCTGATACAGCAGGCAGCCTTTCTGCAGGGACCACATTTGCTGGGTGCTGTTTGCATTTCATAATGCCTCATGGCAGGAGCTGTGCCCGTTAGTTTTGCACAGTTCAACCCTTCAGGCCATAAACATTTCCCCTATATCTCTTCTCTGCTTGCTTACTTTTGTGTTGGGGTTTGCTGAGTGTGCTGCTGTAGCATGGCTCCCTTCTCACTGTGAGGTGGTGCACAGCTTCCATTCAGTGTTTGGAGTTGGTGCTGGGCATGGTGATACCATCCTGGGGATGGGTCCTCCCCAGCCCTAAAAAATTCCCAGTACTGTGGGCAAGTTGTGAGAATGATGAGCTTTCAACAGATCCTGTATCCAGGTGCCCAGCTTCATGCCCAGGCTGTGTGGAGCTGGCACAGAATTGAAGCCTTGAGAATACTCTCCTTAGTATTCCTTTGTTAAAGCAGGGGAATGGAATGGGTGGGCTGTCCATGCAGAGTGTGCTGCCTGCAGGCTATGGGATGTATTTGCTGCACAGTGCACCGCTGCACAGCCCCGTGGGCAGAAGCAGTGCAAACACGGCAAATCCCATAAAGCTGGGATGGGCAGAGCCTGGAGCAGAGACAGCCATCCCCATTCTGTCCTCATTGTCCTTTCCCTTGTGTAAAAGCCACAGGTGGCCCTTCTCAGTGAGATCTTTTGCTATTAACAAGTATTAACGAGAACTTTTAACACTTCTTTATGCAGATGAAGAGCAAGAAAAGAAAGAATCGCAGCCAGTTTGCAGTGAATCAGATGGTAAGAGAACTCTGAAGATGTTGCTTTTTTTTTTTCCCTGAGCATTTAATTACTTTGGTTTTAATGAGCTGATTTTCCTGTTTTCTCACTAGGAGCGGACTGTCTGCCCCACTGTGAGCACTGCAGAAAGGAAAATGTAGGTTTAGAAAAAGAAACCCACACGTTTTGCATGAGAGAACCTGCAAATTGTAATGCTACTTTCTCACCAGCTTCTTAAATATGTGTTTTTATTTTATCTGTTTATATAGGCCCAGAGGGAGCAAGTGACCCCTAGGAAGCTTTCTGGAGGACAATATTTGTATGTTTGTTTTTTTTCATGGTATACATTTATGTTTAATGGGTATACATTTATGGTGTGCTGATCAAGATACTTCTCCCTTCCAATTAAATGGGGAAAAAAATTGCTGCGCAAATACATTTATAGCAGTGAAAAAAGATGCCCCCAAATCTTGAAAAATAAGCAGTTTATGCCAGCTGCCTGTAGATCCTTGTCTGACAGCTCTCATGGTGGCTTCCTCTGCATATTGTTGAAATAGTTAATAATTGTAAGTGATTACAACGTCAATCATGCAATGCAATGTGGGTCTGTCCGGGCAGGATGAAGCTGGATGCAGAAGGCACATACGAGTGCAGTGTCACCGGTCTGATTTTTGAGGTGAACAAGGCGGTCACCATCAACTACTCCCTGCTGTCCTGGAGCAAATACGCCGGGCTGGTAAAGGCGCCGTGGGTGGTGGGCGGCCCGCTGTTCGACGTGCGCTGCGAGGCGCCCTCCGCCCTCACCTCCATCGCCTTCCCGCACTCCCTCTGCCTCGGCGGTAAGTGCTGTGATGGAGCTGGGCAGGCTGGAGCAGGCTGCAGTGCTGACGGTGCCGTCACTGTCCCCGCAGATGGTGGCTCCCAGCCGGCCTTCAAGGTGCTGCACATCAAGGGTGCAGGTGCGGCCATGGAGCCGTCCACGGACTTCTCGGCCTCACACGTGCGGTGGCTGGTCAGCTCGCTGTCCCCCGTCGGGCCGCTCATCCGCAGTGAGGAGCCCCTGCTGTACCACGGAGCTGTCATCCTCTACAAGGCCATCGATGACGACCCCTCCTTGCTGTTCCGGGTCTACGTGGCGACGAACAACGACTCCTTCATCAAGGTTGGGTTTGCCGTGGCAGGTGTTCTCTCAGCGTAAGCTGAATATGAAGGGAAGGGTTTGATATGTGAGCAGCTGTTTGTTCACATGGCGCCATGACAAGTATGAAAAATGAAAATTTGCCACCAAAACTGGGAAGAGGTTCTTCACCACAGGGCAGTGGGCTTCCTAGCAGCGGGCACAGCCTGAAGCTGCTGGAACTCAAGGAGCTTTTGGACACCGGCCTTAAATAGAGGGTTTGGGTTTGTGTGGTCATATGCAGAGCCAGAAGTTGGACTCGATTATCCTTGTGAGTCCAAGGGATATTCTTGGAAAACTCACAGAGCTCAGGACTTGCACCACTAGTATGTCAGCAATCCCCTCATAGGCCAGCATGGGAAGGGACAGCAGCTAATAACACTTGCTTCCATTTGGGTTGTGAAGCCCTTCTGATTTCACTAATGTAGCATAATTCTCTGTCTTTTAGGGAATCTTCACTATCCCCACAAGTAATGTGTTCAATATGGAGCATTTTGTAAGGTTTGCTGTGTGGCATTTTGTAGGGATGGGTGCAGAAGGACACAAGGAGCTGTGAGGAGCAACGTGGGTTGTAAATATAAGTTCCCTTAGCGACAGGAATAATATATCATGCTTTTAAAATTTCAGGATATATCAAGAGCAGTAAAACATTCCAAAAAGAAATTCATTAAAATTGACAAGCCCCCTGTGTGCCAGAAATTATTACAGAACGGAAAGAGATACAGATTAATTTGTGAACCAGAAGCTGAAATAACTCCAGAGGTAAGTTCTCCATGTAAGCATCATTTGATACATCACAGCCTGATTGGAAACATGACAGAAAATACTTTCCCTTTCCTGCTGAGTGCAGGGCATGCACTGGCTGTAAGGGCAGTTTTCAGAATTCATTTGCCATCTCTGTAGAAAGCATTTGCCTCTTAGAGACCTAAAGCTTGGGGATGAAATCCTGACACTGTTGAAGTCAATGGCAAAACATTGGGTAGACCAGAGTTTGGTCTGCATCCGCATCCCTCCTGTTTAATTTATGTTTGGATGAAAGTCTGTCTTAAAAATATTGCTGTTTTACAGGAAATTGAATTTGTTGATGGATCTCTTTTGAAGCTGAAAAGTTACATTGAAGTCTATTTTGAGAAACCTGATGACTTCACCTTATCTTTGGTTGAACTGGACTCGGATGCAGTTGTGTGGAAAGCAAAACTCAGAGAAAGTAAGCATGTTGTGATTTGGATAGCAGTTTGTTCCAGCTGAAAGGAAGCATGAGCCGGGCTGCAGTGCTGCCTGTAGATGAAATTGGTTAAATACCTTCACAGCAATGGGGATCCTGTGATTCCTACTTCACCCTTTGTTTCTCTTTGAAAACTGTTTTCCAGGTGACTGGATACATTATGATCAGAACAAAAATGAGCAAACAAGAGTTCCAAGCAGTAAGTGAATTTGAAGTTGATTCAGATTTTATTGTTTTCTGTGAGCCCTGCTTGCTGTTGTTGCTCAAGTGATCTGCAAGTGAAATGAATAAATTAACATCAATTCTGCTTTGCTCCTTAGGCGTCAAAAGGCGGAAATCAACCAACAGCTTTTCTGAAGAAGAGAAACACTGTAGCAAAAAGCAAAGGTCTAACAGTTATACAGGTAAGCATCTCTGTACCATTTAGAATGCCAAGCCTGGGAATAAAGCAAAAATACCCATGTAGGTATTTACTGATGGTGCATGTAGCCACCAGAGGGAGAGCTTTCATCATTCAGAGCTTCAGTTTATGAGTAGATGGTGACCGAGGAAAGGAAAAGTGCTCGGTCCTCGTAACCTTGCAGTTACTCAGGAGTTGGTGTCCTTATGAGCCTTCAGAGTTCTTCAGGTGATTTTCTGCAGTGCTCGGCTGCAGTTAATCCAGTTTTGACTGCCTGGCTAATAAGATCCCCACTGTTCTATGTCCCCTGCACAGCATCAATAGCGTCATTAAATTGAAAGTCTAATCAGATGAGCAATATTAGATCTGATTTTTGTTTTATGTCTTTTCAGATGGAATTAAAAGCAGAAGCTTGCTAACTGATCGACAGCTGATGGTAATTGCAAAGTTGTTTGGCGTGGAGTGGAAAGAAATTGCCATTGAATGTCTTCAGATGGAAATGAAAGACATTCAGCAGATTCAAGCAAACGAAGAGGCAGTCAATATCCAGAAATTTCTGATGTTAAGCAAGTGGAGAGAAAGAGAGCAAAGCAATGGAACTGCACAAGCCTTGTGCAATAGGCTCCGTGAAAAAGTGTCGTATGAAATAGTGCAGGCACTAGAAGGTATCAGCTTATTGTATTTGTGCAATTACATTGCTGAGTTTCAGATGTGTTTTAAGAGGACACGTCAGAGAGCTCACTAAATACCCAGTATGCATTTTCTTGTGTAACTCAAAATTGTTTCCCTTCTAATATTGATGACAATTTTCTTTCTTGTGACATTTTCCTACTTCCCTTCAGAAAATGATATTATATTATAAAATGAGTAATGTTTTTCTCCTGCCTACGTTCAGAATACTTGGCCATGACCTAATCCTCTCGACCTAATGGGACCTAGGACTAATGGGCATTGTATGCTCAAGGACTAATGGGCATTAGATGCTCAGGGCTCAAATTCTTGGTATTTGTGAGGGAGTCGAAAGAAAAAATAAGAACTCCAAAGAAATAATAACAAACAAATTCTGGCTTTGGAACTAGCAAAACTTTGCTCCCACTTTACTCTCCATAAAAGGAACCTGGCTTCAAAGTGAGGATCACTGCTGACATTCCCTCACTCATCTGACCCTTGAGACATGTCTTTTGCCATGGCCCTGCACTGCTGTAGGTTTTTATGAACTTGTCATTCAATGCTGTAATGACCTCTAGAGATGAAATAATATCTATGTGTCTGTGCGTGCTCATTTCCCCAGGCTTTTTGGCTGAGTGATGAGTTGGAGAAGCTGATGAGAAGCTCAGGAACTTTCCCCACCCAAATGGTTAAACTTTTCAAGCTATTTTCCTGGGATTTCATTGTGATGAAGATCCAAATCGTAATCAGTCAGCGGAAAGTTTAGAGTGTCTTCAAAAGAAATGTGAATGAAATTTTGCACCTATGTAAGTGTAAGTAGCATTTTGGGAATCATTACTCACACGTTTGGATACCAGTCATTGCAGCTGGATGGAAGTGCCAGGCTTGATGTGCCCAAAACTGAAAGCTGCCACTGAATCTTGTCGTGTTTGAGCCAGTCGTAAAAGACAACGAGCACTGGGAGAAATGGGTTTACCTTTGCCAGGTATATGACTGTTATCTTGAAACATTTTTATTTGAATCAGGGAAAGACAAGGGAGAAAAGTTGTATCAAAACTTTCATCCCCTTAAAATAATGAAACTCACAATCATGAGGTACATTGTATTGCTCAGAGGTGCCTAGGATCAGGGACAAACTCCTTCACTTCCTTTGCAGAATCACTGTTTATACACAACCACTGTACGTATCCCCATGCACTCATGTTGAGCTGTGGTTCTGTTTTCTTAAACCCGAAGACCACTTTCACAGTAGCACCATTAAGAACTGCAGGCAGCTTTGAATCTTCTGTGGGATTTTCTTCTCTCTGTACAGTCTGTCTCAATTTTTATGAGATTTTTTTTTATGTTGTATGATCTTTTTTTTTTTGTACTATGAACTTTTTATACTTTTTTTACGTGATTCATTTTAACTTGAATATAAGGGGGGGCTTAAGCTAAAATAGAGAAAATCAGAGTCTCCAAGATGGCTGTTATCCTGAGGGCAGGACCTGTTGCACACAGTTGTGAAAGGTATGAAAATAATGTTACTTGCTAAACAGAATGATGGCCAGACAGTGTCCTGTTTGCAGACGTGATTCTTTTCATCATCTCCTGCTGTGTATGTTTATGGAAAAACAAACAAACAAACATACTTTTAAATATAAGGATTAAAAAGAGAACATTTTGGCTATTTATGTGTAATTTTTAATATGCTTCTTTTTTGTTGTTTAAATTGTAGCTGTCTGCTGAGATACAGCTGTCTGCTGCTTGTATGTCACAAGCCATATTCTCACATCTTTGTGCTCCTCTCCTTGGTCAAATGGTGTTTCTGGTCAGGCCTTTTCCTGGGGATCCCTTGTGCATCCCTTGTGGGCTCTTCTGCTGCTGTAGGATTTAGGGGACACGCACTGGGACACAGGAACAGCTTGTGGAGCTGCCCTTGGCTCTTCTCTCTGAGGCAAGCAAAGGAGAATTGCCATCAGGGACACAGGGTGCCTTGCCCAGGGGAGCTGGGTGGTTGGTGGGGACTGGTGGGGGCAACCAGCCCACAGCATGGGGTTGGAACAGGATGGGCTTTAGGGTCCTTTCCAACCTAAGCCATCCTCCCTGCAGCAGCCGGGGCGATGCCAGTGTCCCCATCTCTCCAAGCAGATTCCTGCTGGTCAGTGGTTCTTCTCATTGCTGCTGAAGTTTTCACTTCTCTTACAACATTTCAAGTCAGCTGCTGCTTTCTCTCTGCTTTTGTGGTGAGAGACCCTGTATAAGCAAGCAGAGCAGTGGTGAGCTTGGAAAAGGGAGTGGGAGGGTGCTTGTCTCAGCATCTCTCCCTGGGTTTTCAACTGAAGCTCAGTTTTTGTTTCAAAATGACAGGGGGTTCTCTCTGTATGCTAAGAAGTTAATAAACAGCTGTCGTTCTCTATGTGCAACAGCAGGCACCAATAATAAAAATGCAGGTGACATTATGCAGTTTTGCCCTATTGAAGATTGAAACAATTTATCTCATAAAAGAGAGCATGAGGGGGATACATTTCCCAGAATATCAGTGCTAGTTTTACCACAAGCAAGTGGTTCTAGTGCGTGCAGATAGTAATTCACAACACCAAATGCTTTTGTTGGAGGGTGTGATGCCTTACCTTTGTAAGCTCACTACCCAATTAGCTAATTTCTTCTCAATTATGGCACTGAGAGCAGGGATGTTTGTGTATCCTCAGTGGTTATTTCTTAGATAGGTTCTTAAATATGAATCTCTCCAAACACACAACATCAAATGGGTTTGCAAGAAGAGAGGAAGACTTTCCCTGCAATGGAAGAGATGGAGGGGAAAGGCTGTGCCCAGCTGCCTGCCTGGCACAGCAGGGATCAAATAGTAGCTGTGGAGCATGGAGGTAAGTTGTCATCAACAAGAGGTTTTGTTGTCTGCACACCCAATTTCAGCCTGTAGTTTTGATGTGGCTCCAGCAACAAACAAACAAAAAATAGTTCTAAAGGGGCACGTATTGCAAAGCTGGCTGATTTTGCTTCCTAACTGAAACCTTTTGCTCTCAAAATGTGTGCGTTAGGCAGCACGTGGCAACTTGAACACACCTGATACAAAACCCCCCTGGAGAGTCAAAGCCACAAGGAGCACAGCTGATGTGAGGAACGAGGAAAATGGGAGTTCTAAATATGACCCCAGTGCTGAGTGGTGCCATGGTCCTCTGCTTATTTGAGAGCAGGCTGGGGATTGGGAAATGTTTCTTCTCTGAAGAGTTCAGAACTGTGGGGATATGGCACTGAGAGATGTGGGCATGGTAGGGTGGGCTGGGGTTGTACTGGGGTTCTGAGAGCTCTTTTCCAACCATAATGATTCTGTGAATACATTAGCAGTCTGATCAATGTGATTCTGTCCTGTTCATAGGATAGAATATATTGCATTCCTTGAGGTGTGTGATATCTCAAGGAACAACAAAAAAAAAGGTCACTGCAGCTTTTATGTCAACTTCAATTTTATTAGGCAATAAATAGAATAAATAAGGAGCACCATCATAAATAAACCAGGATTATTATAAATATCCAATTCAGGAGCTTACAATTGAATAAATAAAACTCTGAAGACAAATAACAGCTGAGCATTTGGTGGTCTGAGAACGTTCTCATACGATACAGCTTATTGTCCCCATGCTTAGAAGTTGGAGGCGCTAGCTCCGAAGGCACCGACAGCAGAATGTGGTTTATCAGTAACTGTACAGCAGGACGGCCGTGCTGCTGCGTTTCCTTCTTACGTCTCTGCAGTGAGGGCACTCAGGTAGCCCAGCATCCTGCTGATGGTGACGGCACGCAGGCAGAAGGCGTGCAGGACCCCGCAGAGCCGCATGCGGCCCTGGAAGGAGCCAAGGATGGTGCTGGGCGAGGGCTGTGGCGCGGCCGGGCTGCGGGGCTGCAGGACCTGCAGTGGGGAGGGAGGTCAGCGGAGGGACAACAAACAAGCTCTTAACATCTTCCAGTTTTACTCCTAGGAAAACCAGTATCAACCTGCCAAATTCCCAGCTCCCCGGTGACTGCACAATGCAACGCTGCTCCTAAAACCCCATTAAAGATGGAAGGAACAAGATGGAAGTGCTTACTTGCATCATGTCGTCAATGGATGTCAGCACCCTCAGATGCTTGAGGTTCCTCAGCTCTGCCTTGTAGGTTTTCAGATCTTCATAGATCCCCCGCAGGCATTTGCTCTGCAAAAGTCAGGATTAATAAGAGACGCTGGAACATGTTGCTAAGTGCTAGAAGTGCTAAACAAAGGTTCTCTATAGAAGCTCACAGCTTACCGTATCTAAAGTAGAACTTTCCAGTACTGGACAGTTTCCAGCCTGCAAATAAATTAAAGAAGAAGTGATACAGGTTCATTTAGTGACAACGTGTTATACGGCTGCTAGAGAAAATATGATGCTGAAAGCTGGCTGTTTTGGTTTTACCCCTGGATCCTCAGATGTGCAGGATTTTATTGTGTTGATTTGGCTGTTGGTGACATCTTCAAGATCAACCTCTTCAAGGGTGCATTCAAATCCCAGCACTCCCTGTTTCTGTGTTAAAAAGGGGGGGAAAAAGGGGTAAATGATTCAGCTTCAGAAAACAGCAAATAGAGAGTCTCGAAATCACTAAATGTTTGTGCTGAATATAAAGCACTAGAAAGTGAAAAAAAGAAAATACAGAGGCAGTGCTCACTGATAGCCTGCAACTTTGGGAAACTCTTTAGTGGTTTTCTTTCGTGCTTCTCTGAGATGAAGCTTGCAACTCTAGCAGGGGACTTTGGCAGAAATTCTCATCTTGATGGGGATTTAGGGGCAGAAGGACTCTGTAACAGCAAAGCCAGAGCACCAGCGTGCAAACGCAACGAGCTTGGGAGCAAATGTCTGCAGAGGCGTTAGAGAAACAGGTGCTCAAAAGTAAGCAGTGCGTTTGGTTGATGAGATGGATGAGAGCTGAGAGACACCTGTGCAAACACAGGTGCTGCTGATGGTGTGGGTGGGCACTAGGAGCAGTTACAGGCCTGCTGGCAGTTCAGAAGGAGACTTCACCAAGCTGAGTGCACAGTGTATGTGTCTGCCTGGGATTTATCTCCAACATTTCTCCTGCTTGGATAGCATCAGGAACCCATCCCCATCATCCTGGGTGCCTTCACCAGCACATCATCTGCCGGGACGCCATCCCTAGCCTGTCTCCTGCTTGCTGAGGTATGTACCATCCCCACTGTTCTGGCCACTATCCCCACCATCTTGGGTGCCAGCAATCACCTGCCTGGCTATGCACCTCCCAAGCACCGACCCTTCCACCCTGGGCACATCCCTCCCCTCTCATACCTGCACTTGCAGGAGTGCCTCGTTGGCAGCGGCCAGCAGTGTCCTGGAGCAGTTGAGTCCCTTGGTCAGGTTGTGGGCAGGAGGAGGCAGCGCCCACGTGGATGGCAGCAGGAGGCAGAGCAAAGCCGGCAGCACCCAGTGCCCGACCCTCAGCCGTGCTGCCCTGCTCCTGATGCTGTGTTCTGCCATGCCTCTGCCCAATGAAACTGATGTGGGATCGGTGGCTGCTGCAGGGGCTGCGCTGCTTTTATGTCGGTGGAGGAGCAGGAGTTCCCCTTTTTCTTTGTATTGGTGTCTCGGGGAGCTGAGAGCTGGGAATCCCGTGGGGTCCTGGCATCGGGGCAGTGTGGGGACAGGAGGGGGTGGGGCTGCCCTTCCTTCAGTGCTTGAAGGGAGCCTCTGCCAGCGCTTAAAGGGAACATACAAAAAGATGGGGAGAGACTTTTTATGCTGTCTGGTAACTATAAACAGGGGGATGGCTTTAAAGGGAGAACAGGAGTGTTTAAAGCATGTGTCTGACACATAAGTAAGCTTTCCATGTCTAAGCTTTACTATGAGAACTATGAGATGCTGTTGATAGCAGTGCATATAAGCCAACTGGAAGCATGCCTTGGTGGGTTTGGGGCACCAAGGGTTCATTAGCTCGTGCTGTACGTGACGGCCGCCCACCCTGCCCTGCCAAGGGGCCCTGGAGAACTTTCCATGAAGTCAGTGGGAGTTTTCCTGTGCACTTAGAAAGCAACAGGATGAATCAAGGGTTTTCTTTATATTGAATTTTCAGATTCATTTTATTTTAATGAACATCTTATTTCCCCTAAGAAGGCGGTGATGTGTCAGAAGATGCTTTGCCTGAACACTGGTGTATGACTGTCTAGTTTGACTGTGTTTTCCATTGCTGTGCCTGGTGTTGAGCTGAAGGCTGAGCTTTTGCCTTTAGAATCTCTAAGGCTGGAAAAGACCTCTCAGCTCCCCAACCCCTCCTCCACAATGCCCGTATCCACATCCCCAGGTGCCACATCCCCACAGTTCTGAGCACCTCCAGGGATGGTGACCCCTCTGCTCCCTGGGCAGCTGTCCCAGTGCCTGACCAGATGTGTTGCTCCAAATGATGGTTTTCAAATAGCCTCATTTGTGCCATTTTCTGAGCTCCCTGCCCTCCTGCAACCGACTGCACACGGCATCCTGCTGGGAGCACAGGGAATGTTTCCTTTAGGTTTGGCTCAAAGCAAAGCACAAAGTGTTAGGGTCTAGCAATGAGAATATTCCTGTATCAGCTGCATCAAAAAATCAAAGGAAGTTCTTTAAAACAGGAAAGCCCATGTGCTTTTTATTACGTAGTATGTCTTAGTCTCAGATGCTGATCTCATCAGGCAGAAGAAGGATTATAGAGGTGGGATGACACTTGTGCTATTAAAGCAGTGCAGGGTTATCTCCTTTATGCACTTGTGCAGTTCTACTATGCCATTCTGGGTCTGCAGCCCTGCAATGGGGTTGCAGTTAAGGCAACTGGATGGTGCTCCTCCTTGGTGGTTCCAGTAACAATGGGTGGCAGTGGCACTGACACTTGGTGGCCAGGCTGGCTTGCTCTCTCCCTTCCTACAAGCTGAATCCCAGAGCCCTGTGTGGATGTTGTGCTGTGTGTGGGCATATCCTCAGCTGGAAGAGAGGGGTTGTTTGTATGAAGGCACTATTTCTTGTAATTATAATTACGTATAATTGTGTAATAATTATGTATGTATCTGTAATTATGCATTAATTATTTATATATATATATATATATATATATATATATATATATATATAGTAAAGCTGTGATAAATTAAATCACAGCTAAGCTTAAAAGTAGATCACAGCTACATAAAAAGATCTAGATGAGGGGGAATGGCTTTAAACTAAAAGATGGGAGGTTTAGGTCAGATGTTAGGAAAAAATTCTTTACCAGAGGATGGTGAGGCACTGCCAGCCATCCCAGGGGGTGCTCAAGATGGGGCTGGATGGGGCTGGGGGCAGCCAGCACGCAGCAGGGGTTGCGAATGGGTGATGCCTGTGGCCCCTTCCACCCCAATCCATTCTATGGTTCTGTGTTCTGCAAAGTGCTGCAGTGAGAAATGCTTGCATTGAGTAATTGGTGTTTTTCTCCCAGCTCCAAGAACACGTGGAGGCTTTCTCTCATGGATAGTTTGTTTATTTTATTTTATTTTATTTTATTTTATTTTATTTTATTTTATTTT